AGAGAGGGGAGTCTGAATATCAATGCAGTGGCTTTCCAGTAGATAGGAAGATAGGGCTGAAACTGCAGCATTCAAGGATTCTGTGTTGGAGACCAGATATTTCAGTTCTAAGGCTGCTGAGAGACTGAGTGACCTGTGCAACCAACAAACTCTGCTCATCTACACACATCACAGAGCTTTTTGCAGTCCAGTGTGGTATCTCTTGGTTCTCTGCACTGTGATATTCCCAGCTGACAGCTGTCCTTTGAACCACTCTGGAAAGAGGGTAAGAGATATTAACTGAAACATAGAAACATTGGGGATGATCCTACTCCCCTGGAAATTTGCTGGAGTTTGTAGTCCGATTTCAAAGGGAGAAGGACCAGAGCTGTACATTGGTATTTCTCACTCAGTAATTTTTCACCATGCAGCTTCAATTACCTTATGTTCAAATCAGGCTCAAGCCTTTCATACCTTTCACTTAAAAGGGGTCTGAAACCAAGACTACCCTGGGAATGTTGAGTCATCTTAGGAGAACCTGTGGTTCCACTGGTAAAGAAGATAATCATTGGGTCTTGAATCCTTGTTTTGACACAGGAATGATCAGCAGCTTGGTTTCTTTAAAAGAGAGAACGTAATAATGATTTCAATGGTTCCTTTACACAGGTTTCAGAATGTAATGAAGTATTCCAAATAAGCTTCACAGAGTTTCACAAAATTATACTAAAATAATGTGATGTTATACTTCCTCAAAGACAGACCTCCCCTTAAAAAGAAGAGGGTAGAAGCACCCCAGAATGAGACCGCTGTTAGCAAACATCTCAATGTGGATTAGCAATCTATTAACTCATACTCACTTGCAGAGCTCAGTGAAGTTCAGCCACCCTTCCCTACTGTCCTTGGACACCATTAGCTTGGTTTTCAGAAACTGACACTCAGATGCCACCGAATCCACTGCAGGAGCCACTTTGTCAGTGGTGATTATGCACGTGGCCTTTGATGCCTGGAGTCGATAGAGGATGTCTTTGGCTGATAACTGGGATACCCCTGGAATTAAGACAATTCCTGGAAGAGAGATAAAGTTACTTTAGGTTGGCATATTTTTTTACATCTGATTCTTTTCTAGGAATCTAAACCATAAACTATTCCCAAACTGACCTCTGATATGGATTTGTCCTGGTGTTCCCCAGACAAACAGTTATACTGAATTATGCAGATGCTTGTGCTCTCCTGTAAGCAATGACACGTGGACCTGCCTGGTGACTTCCATGGCTCTTCCCTGTATTCTGGCCAGCTGTCCTATTGCACCTAGCGCAAACCCTTCAGGACTGCCTGCATAATTGGTAGTTGGGCCACTCACTGGATTATTACATTACTTTTCCTTCATAAACCACATACATTCTTGATCCTTTCAACCTAATTGCAGTAACCATTTTGCCAGTCTCAGATATGCTCACTGACCTGCTCGCATACAAGCCACATTCACCAGCCACCACTCTGGGATTCGTGGTAGGATCACGATAAGTCTGTCCCCCTTCTGCAGCCCACATTCTTTAGTCAGCACATTGGCCACTTTCCGAGACAGGAACCCCAGCTCCTCAAAGCTCCACTTCACTTCTTCTCCTTTTCCATTTATCCACCAAAAGGCAGGGTTTGGTGGTCTCTTTCCAGCCTACAAAGCATAAGGATTCAAACACAAAACATTTTCTTCTGACAGACTGTGAAATTATAATGCAAAAACAACCGCAAATTATGGAAGATCTGAGTATTTCACAACTGGCTTATAAGCTGTTATTTTTCCCTTGTCCTTAATGGATTGAGATGTGTTATGCATCACGCTCAGGTATTCCCAATAGATTCTCCTTTTCTGAACCTGAAATGTTTACCAACCTAATTGTCTCCAGACCCAAATTATTTCAAATGAATTTCAAATTAGAGTATCTCATTGGCACAACAAAAGATCATCTACCTTTTCAATCTCAGACCACTTGTCCAGTACATCACTTGCATAGTTAAAGTACTTTGGTATTTCCTGTTTGCCCCGTCTGATGGACTCATACTGGGAATGCACATCAGAGGCAAGCAGCCTGGGGTGTCCATGGAGAGCTCTGTTAGGAGGCTTCAAAGTCCACCAGAATTTTAGACTCTGCAATTTAAACAACTTCATGGCAGAAAATGAGGTCTGCAGATGCTGTAGACCATGTAAGGAAATGAGCAGAACTGTTGCTATAAATCCTGCAACAAAAAAAAACCAACAAAAAGAGAAAAATAATATTAAGATTATCCAAAGAAAATCCAGTTATGAATTAATGAGTTATTAATTGAATTCACTTAGGCTAGTAACAGCCAGACTGATGATTTTAACACTCTAATTAAATGTGAAGTTCCCTATCCTGCTTTCTCATATTTTTGATTTTTTAATTAATTGCCTACAACTCTCCATACTCAAAACCAACATCAGATGTTATTGTTTGCATTAGAATAAGGTTCCTGCTTCTTACTACAAAGCATTCAGTAGCTAATTCTCTATTCCTTTTCTACTAGACTTCTTGCATTAGATACTCACTGCTTTAGCTTCAACAGTTGCTGACTGATATATCCATTGACCACATCCATCCAAAGAGCCTTCACTTCAGTAATCCTTTATGCAGGCACCAAATTTGATATAGACATTTCTGCACATGCTTCTTGTAAATTCTCTCTTCCATCTGTATTCACCGTAACAATCCTAAAAGTTCTCAAGTCTAATTACTTTCTTTACACTGCTGCTTTTTTCTTTCTCCTTATATAATCTTATAATGCTGCTGATGATTATTTCTTTTCCACAGACCAGAGGATTATTCCAGAGCTGTGCTCAACTCTAAAAATTGTAATGGTATTTAGAGGGTTCTCGTAGGTGAACATAAAGATTATCAAACAGGGGGAAAAGAAACTGGCTTGGGTCTAGAAAAGCCCCCAGTCAGATCAGGAGCCAGGGGAGTCCTGGAGGCCTCTGATGATTTCAGAACCTAAGTCCAACTATCAATTTGCTTTTTTCAACCACTAAACTCAATTACTCAGTTACTATACTCAGTACAAGGTTTAGGGTAAGTGACTCCTGAAATACAGGGCAATTTTCATTTCTGTTCTTACAAAGGATGAAACTATCCACAAACTACCAACAAAATTACAGGTAAACTCTTAATCAAATTCTTTTTCATGCAGAATTTCTGTGGCCTGAGTGAATCTGCAAAGTTTTCACCTTTGTCCCAGGTTTTTAAGTACACTTTGTAGTCTTTCACCCCTTGTCCCAAGTCTTCAATCATAACCATTTGTCCTCACATCTCTGATGCATGGATCTCAGTCTTGGTCAAATTTTATTCCTCAAGAAAAAGTAACTTCTTTAACATTGGAATTATTTCCTTATTCCTCTGCACAAGCTTTTACAGTAAGATTTAATCTGCCTATCAGGCAAATTAATTCAGATACATAGAACTTAACACATCTTAATTTTTTCAGCCATATCTGACAGCATAAAAAATCTGGATGCAGATTTCCCCCCAGAACAGATACTTAGTCAAAACCAAGGGTAAAGAGGAATTCCTGATGTTCTCCGTGCTCCATGGAGGTTGTGGCAGAGAAACACTGACCAGCTGTAAACAATCCTATAGGATATCATTAGTTGCCAAGAAAGAGTCTTAGGACCTGGATATAAAATTGTTATTATGTCCCTAAATGCCACTCACTTCAGAATCAGGATTACATAAGAAAAAGTTCTTTAGAGAGTACTTACACTTTAAAGCAGAGCACTATTAAGAGGACTTGGTGGAAAAAAATTCTTTTAAAAAAGTTTGAGTGGTGAAAAATCCTATTTGAAATATTCCCAAACTCTGCAGAGAAAATGGGCATTAATAAAGGGGGTTTATGTCATATTTTGGGATATACAATAATAAGTATTGTTTTTCTCTTACTTAGGAAACAACCACCAGTAAAAATATCACAATTTTTATGAAATGGAACCTTTCTTTGAGGTTGTGACCTTTACTATTAATGCTAAAAAACAATGGATCCACTTTGATTCCTTGAACAAACAAGCCTAATCATTTTGGTTATTATTTTCAATAACTTAAGAGGATATTTATAATTTCTTAGTCTGCTCTAATTCTATGATTTAACTGTAATCTACAGATTTCAGAGCATTATAATGACAAGATCTACACAATACCCTGTCAAGGAAAGAGGAGGGACAGAACATTCAGGAACAGTATTCAGGATCAGAAATGGTATTCAAGACTGACAAGATGAAAGACATTTTAAATTCAGGATTCCCCAGTGGTCTACCAAAATGTCTGCTAAGTTTTGCTGTGAGACCCTTCAAGGTCATAGCACTTTCTCACCTGCAAACCTGGAGGTGAAAATGAAGTAAAAAAAAAAAAGACCCAGTAATGGCAAAGTCCTTTGAATGACTCCAAGAACCAGGAATTATTGTTCTTGGTTTAGTACCATCTGCTTCTGCTCAATGATCATTAACATGAGGAATTCAGACAAACAACACTTTCCTGACCTGTCTGCTGTGGACAGGAGAGATTGAGAGCTGGCTGGGGCAGATCCTCTTCGTTCAGTTTGCTTGGCTTTCACAACATATTTCCCAAAAGAGACGCTCACCTGGAGACGTGAAACCCGGACTCTCTGTCAAAAAGGATTTGAAGTGAAACCCTTCCTACTTTGTCTTTTGCTTCCTCTGAAGTAATGAGAACAGAACGTAAACCAAAACAGACTAAGCAGCAAAAGTGTTTCCACAAAGTAACCTTTTTCTTGTAATCATTTACATCCTTGTTAATTGTGCATAATTTGCACCTTAACCTGAAGCACTTTGGGTCTTCTTTTACCTCCACTTTAACCATTCAAGTAGAACAGAAATTCATAAATGTCTTTCTCTTTCCACTCAGAAAGAATTTGGAAATATTACAGTGGTATTCTTTGAAGATAATGTATCAATGCTCTGTTGGTACCCACTACTGGACAAAGCAGGACAAAGACTATTTTTATTATTTTCCCTTTTATTTATATGTATCAAAGTATTGTAGTTACACTTTTTAAATAAAAACAATCCTTTGTAGGCTCCTGGGTGTGTCCTTTCTCTCTCCCATTCCACACTCCTAATTATTTGCAACTTCTGTCTTCCGAAATTTTTTAGGTCGATGGCAAAAGAGGTTCCAATACCAATACCAACACATCCTCAAGCCATGAGTGTTTTCTCCTTTTTCTTCCATAGCTTGTTTTTCTAGATGTTCTCCTAGTTCTCTGGGTCATGACCACATGCCAAATTTGATGTGTTATGGCTGGTACCAGTGATGGAACTTTTCTCTCCTCATTTTCCAGATCACTCTTGCCCTTGTCATTCTCTCCCCCACTCTCTGTTCCTTAGGACTTTTCTCTGGATTTTCCCACTAACCGTCTTTGGCAGATCCTGAACAAACTCCACCTGAAAGGCAAAAATACATTCAGGCTAATTTCCCAGCTGAAGGAAAAATACATTTTACTAAGAGTGGGGGTAAAAAGATGGGAAGCTGCACAGCAAGGGCTGGGATGATGGAATTCTGACTGAATGTCTTGCCCATTTGTGCTGGTGGGAAAGCTCCAGTATTCCATGAAAGGAAGTACAGTCACATGAGTCCCTTTGGGTTCTTTTGAGCACACACAGTGAACCCAAAGCTACAGCTGCAACACACCCTGTCATCTACTTTGATTTGATTTAGCTGTTGTTGGAGTGTTTGTCAGAATGCAGCTGAAAAGGAGCTGAGGCAGGACAAAAAATGCTCAGTTTCTGGTACAATTAGCAGACCTGTCTTTTGGGGCTGTACTTACCTTCCTTGGATACTTGTAAGGTGCAGTCACTTTCTTGACATGCTGTTGAAGCTCCTGAGTTAATTTTTCTGGATCATGTGATGCAAAAGCAGGAGTTAAAACAATGAAGGCTTTGACTACCTGTGTCACAAGAATTAAGGGATTCCATTAACTTTCAGAGGTGGGAATAAAGAGATACATTTCTTGTGAAAAGTGTCTAAATTCATAAAAAAAATTGATCTTTTTCTTTAATTTCCCTTTCATTGTCTCTTTGTGACAGAATGGTGTGTTATGAAGGCTGTGTTCTGCAGCAGAGAATTTTTTTCCACTTTTTTCCCCCTTAATTTTATATCCTGTTAAAGCTAAAGATCTCATCCCAGTTGGTCAAAGAAATGTTGCAAGGTTGAAAAACATAAAATAAAAATTAAACACCCTGGATATCATGGCTACCATGTGCTTAGTGACAAAAAGAGGAATAATACAAATTCCATATCTTATGCAAAAGGATGCCACAGTAAGTCTGAAAAGCCAAACTTTTTTTTCCCCACATCAAACCCCACAAACAAAGAAATAATTCTGAAATTCCATGATTGGTCAAGATATGGATTTAAAAAATGGGGTTTAGGCCATTTCATTTGAAAAATCTGCAATATACTCAATTCCAGGGAAGCCTAGGACATATAGGTAACTTGATGCTTAAAGAGCATTTCTTTCCACATCTTTTTTCTTTTCCTTTTTACCTCCCCTCGATCTGGATCAGGACTGCTGACAACAGCTGACTCTGCCACTGCTGGGTGTTGGATTAATGCACTTTCCACTTCAAAGGGGCCAATACGATACCTGGGAGAGAGGGAAGATGTGTCAGCTGCAGCAAGATGGGCCAGTCCACTGGTCTTTTCAAATTGCATTTTAACAGACAAATGATTAAATCTAAAAGCAACTGACTTACCCAGCAGAATTAATGATATCATCATCTCTCCCAACAAACCAGACATATCCTTCTTCATCCATAATCCCTCTGTCCCCAGTGACATAAAAATTTCCACGCACAGTGGCAGCAGTTTTCTCCGGATTATCCTGACAAATAATTATCCAAATATTATGGGGGTTCAGAAGCAGATTAAACACAAAGACAGGTCCCGCAAAGCTTATTCAATGTGATAGTTCAAATGCAGTGGACAATAGGTTTGCCTGATTCTACTCTTTTCTTAAGAATATACTGCACCTCAGCACCACCACACAACCAATCAGGCTCAAAGTCCTCAAGTAACCTAGTGAGACCTTCTGAAGATCCTGGATGAAATCCTGCTCCTGGTATAAATGAACAGAACTTTGCTCTGGGTCCCCCCTGAGTTTCTGAGCAGGCACAGACACAGCAGCTCAGGCTCACCAGGTACTCAGAGAACAGACAGAAGGGCCGTGTCGGCTGGATTCGGACAGCAATGCTGCCCTCTTCTCCTGCAGGCAAAACAGCCCCATGGTCATCTATGATCTGCAGAAAGGACACATCATTATTCCTTTGGTTAGCTCAGAGGAATGAATCTCTGTTCCAGCACAGTGCAGGACAGAGAAGGGACACAGACAGCATTCCTTCCTCATCTACCCCCAACTGCAACATATCGACGTACCTGCACATCAAAAGGGGGAAGGGCTTTTCCCAAAGAGCCAGGTTTAATTTTCATTCCTTTCATGTTGGCACAGATTGTCACCTGCATAATAGATTTTAATTTAAAAAAATTTTTTGCAACACCTTGTAAATTTTATTATTGTTTGCATTAGGCAGGACATGTCTGTGACTTTTTGTGACAAGGGCTGAATCAGGACCAAAGTACTGTGATTCTCAAGAACATCAGAGAGGGGTTGAGAGGCATTTCAGGGTAGATCTGTGGAATGAGGTTGGTTGTGCTCAGTCTGAGCCAGTCGGTTCGTCTGCAAACACTTGACTTTGCAAGAAAGTAGATGCGAAATTATTACAGATCTTATTTCAATAATTTAGGACCATTTCAAGGGTAGGATGAGAGAATGCCTGACATCTGACTCTTAATAGCTTTGTTAGTGTTCACTTCCAGAGAAGTCTGGGATGTGAGCTGCTTTAATATTTTTCATTAAAACCTCGGAGAGGCCAAATTTATAGCCAGAGCAAATTATTCTTTTTAGTTCTGCCTTTGATGTAAAGATGATGACAGGATCACCTACCACTTATTTTATCTGAGGTGTCTCTGGCATGGTGCTTACAGGGATCTGAACCATTAAAATATGCAGCTAGCTGATTCTGAAACTATATAATCATAATTATAAAGTCTTTAAAAAAAATACGATGGATTCTCACCTTTTCCACTGATTTATCAAGGACATTGTGACTCTGGTGTAGTTACCTTTGAAAGAGCATACTGCAAGAATTAATGGAAACGTACTGTTTCGGTCTGGCCGTAACCTTCATGGATATCCACCCCTGTCTGGGATTTCCACTTTGCCATCATTTCAGGATTGAGTGGTTCCCCTGCAGATATGCAGTGTTTCAGACTCATGATCTTGTACCTTCAGAGGAACAGCAAATGAAATAATTTTTTAACTCTTGAAGAGAGCAGTGAATGGTCTTAACCGAACAGCCTCCCTTGGCTTTCCAAGTACACCCAAAGCTGAGGGTAAGGCTGAATAGGAACACACATCCTGAGCTTTCTGCTTAACCTGTGTTGGCTTCTGCCAGGATGAAAGACCTATGTGAGAAGACTAAGTACCTTACTGAAGATGTAAAAACTCCTTACAAACCACTTCTCACAACCTGAGTATTTTACAGAGTAACAAACTCGTGCAAACAGCTGCCAAATAACTCTCAGTATGTGAAACTCCTCTTACAGCTCATTTCATTCTCAAGCATATGAGAATAACTCCACTACACTCCAGTAATTCCCTAATCCAATGCTGCCTGAAACTTGACATAAATTTAAATTACGAACTGTAAGTTCAGAGGAAGTGACAACTTAAAAAGATTTCACTTGGTCCCTCTGTGCTGTCTTTTCAAAGACCCAGCCTGAAGCCTGAGTGACCTATGGTGTGACTAGTTATTCTCATATTTCAGAACACAGCTCTCTTTCCTGAGAGCACTCTTCCTAATTAGATTCCCTTTAACTGAAAAAAAAAAAAAATTAGAAATAAGGAACTTGAGGAACTAAGCAGCCAGAGCTGTCACAGCATTATATCCCAGCCTCCCTCCTACCCCTGCAGTACCTGCTCAGATCATGTTGGACCAGCATGCGGTAGGCAGTGGGAGCAGTGCAGAAGGTAGTGATGGGGTATCTTGAGAGAGTCTAGAAAAAGAGAAAGTTATTTTATAGAAAGAAAATGTAATGGTGGGTCCCACTGCTGTAGAACACACAGAACTTTCTGTCCAACAGAAGTCATATATGAAAATGAAAGACCACTGAGTGCAGTAGTTCCAGTTAAGATTGTTTTGTGCTTTCCAATGTCCCAGGCCCAAGCCTAAGTGCTGATAGGGAATTAGACCAAAGCTTTTCCAGATTTATTCTTGGGAAAGTCAGGGTCCCATCCCCACACAAGAGGCCAGGGTTGAGGAGAGTTGGCCAGCTTAGTGGTTTTGAGAAATGGCTGAGAGAAGGAACAGGCATTCTGGCAACTCTGGATGGCTTGAGAAATGGATTACTAACCTCTGCAATAACTTCTGGTTTAAACTGTGGCATGTGGTGTACAAAGACACAAGATCCACAGATCCATGGTGCAAAAACACTGCCCCAAGCTGCTTTTGCCCATCCAGTATCAGAGGTATTCCACATTATATCTGAAGGAGTCAAGTTCATCCAACGCCTGGTGATAAAGAAGAGATGAAAAAAATGCTACAATGAGTGTGAGAGACTTGGGTACAGTTCACAGCAGAATTCAAGGACAGGGCAGGAGGCTTCCATTGGAAGAAGTGGTGTCAGGAGGCAGGGCTCTGTAGAAAGTTTGTAAGAGTCAAAAAGGACACTCCTTATTTCTCCTCTGCAGTCTGAGAGACAGAACACTGCACACAATGATCTCAAGTGAGTCTGCCATAGGGTTTTAATATGGAGGGTTTCACTGTGAAAGGGAAAAGATGAGGAAGAGGCAAGATCCTACAGTCATTGAAGGCCTACATTTACTGGAGTTTTACAGTCACATTTTCAATGTAATGGGGATCATGTCACTTAATGAGGACACTGGGAGGAACTCCAAGGTAATACCTGCCACCAGATACAAGTCCGATGCCATAACTGCTGTGGGACTGCACCACCATTTTTGGAAAGCCTGTAGTTCCACTAGTAAAATAGATCAGCATTGGGTCTTGACTTCTTGTCTGGACACATTTATGTTCAGCAGATGCCACCCTTCAGAAGAAAAAGTATAATATAGTCACTATATGCATTTTCCACCAAGGAATCTGTATTTCTAAGGTTTAGGAGTTAAACAGGGAAATAGCCCCAAACTGTATGATCTCACTAAATAAACAGATGCATCAGATACAATAGGCAAGAGATAGAGAACACATTTTGCCTGTCACAACTGCACTCTGAATCACAAGGCTCCTGAGTGAGGAGATGGTGAAGGACCTGAATTTAGGTCCCCAAACCTGTGTTGGACAAATCTGTACTTAATACAGTGCAATAATAATGCAGTGAGCTGACAGAAGGATGCAAAAATGTAACTTATTTGTGTTATGGAAATGAACCCCATAACTCAGCAATGCCACCTGACTGGTACAGCCTCCTTCCCCTCTCAGGCATGAAGGTCAAACAACTGGATACTCACGCAACGAGTTCTTTGAGGTTCAGCCACCCATCCCTGCTCCCTTTGCCTACAATTAGTTTACTTTTCAAAAACTGGCTGTCAGGCACAACAGATTCCACTGCAGGTGCCAGTGTGTCACTGGTAATGATGCACTTGGCCTTTGAAGCCTGGAGTCGGTATAAGATGTCTTTGGCTGTCAGTTGGGATGTTCCTGGAACAAAGATAATTCCTGGAAAAAAGCAATGAGCAATTGAGAAAACTCAGCATTTCTCCAAAACACTTGATCTTGTCCCTGTTGATGCTGAATTGTTCCATCATGGATGATTAGCAGTTTCAAAATGCAATGGGTCAAATCCTTCCTAAGCATTTGCAAAACTGCAACAGCAGAGAAAAATATTGAGTAATTAACCCCTTTAATAATATAGTTACTGCATTAGCACTGTCCAACCAGATATCTGGTTAAGGCTGGCCATTCAATCTTCACTGGCTTCAGCTGAGGGTGCTGTTTAACTGAACAGCCTATCCCTTTGGTTCCTGTGTGGGTGCAGCCAATTCTCCTTCCATGCAAAAGCTGAGTTGTTCAGGTCACAGCAGAATATTCCTGCTTATGTTTTCTCCACATTAATTTTGCACATTGACTGTATCTTCTATTTATGTCCTTTCTGCATCCAAGAGGTCAGTGAGGTCACTCACCTGTTCTCATGCAGGCTACATTGAGGAGCCACCACTCTGGGACCCGAGGCAGAACTGCTATAACTCTGTCTCCTCTCTGCAAACCACATGCCTCAGAAAGTACATTGGCTGCCTTCCTAGAGAGAAATCCCAGCTCTTCAAAGCTCCACTTCACCTCCTCTCTCTCCTCATTTACCCACCAAAAAGCTGGATTTGCTGGTTTTCTTCCATCCTAGAACACAACAGAAGATATTCAAGTAAGAAGTCAAAGCTTAAAAGGTTTCATTTCAAAACAAAATAACTCCAGACTAGGCACATCCTCCCTGGGGACTAGTCTCAGAGTGATACCTATATTTCTGACAAGCAAAACAAAATGGTGCATTCCACTCTTGAGCTGATCTATCCAGTATCCATCAGGAAAAGTGATTTGTATCATCTGAGATCTGTTCCAATGTGTCCTGGTTTCAGCTGGGGCAGAGTCAATTTTCTTCCTAACCACTGATAAAAGTGCTGTGCTTTCTGGATTTGGGATGAGAATAATGTTGATAACACACTGATGTTTTAGTGGTTGCTAAGCAGTGCTTACTCTAAGTCAAGGACTTTTCCATTTCCCACGCTCTGCTGACAAGGAGTTGCACAAGGAGCTGGGAGGGAGCACGGCCAGGACAGCTGCCCCAGACTGCCCAGAGGGGTACTGTATAACATAGAATGTCCTGCTCAGTATAACCTGGGGGGAAGTTGGTCTGGAGGTGCCAATCACTGCGTGGGCACTGTCTGGGGGTGGTGAGCAATTGTGTTGTGCATCACTTGACTGTCTTGGGTTTTCTTTCTTTCTCTCTGCCTGTTGTCTCTTTTCATCACTACTACTAGTGCTCTGATGATGATTATTATTACTATTATTATATGTTATTTTATTTCAATTACTAAACTGTTCTTACCTCAGCCCACGGGTTTTACCTCTTTTTTCCTGATTCTCCTCCCCATCCCCCTGGGGGCTGTGCCTGTGTGTGTTCATGTGATCCAGTAGCTCTGTGGTACTTGGTTGCTGGCTGGGGTCAAACTACAACACAATATCTATAAAGCGAAAGAAAAATACTACCTTTTCCAGTTGTGACCACTCATCTAAGACATCACTTGCAAAGTTGAAATATTTAGGCAGTTCCTTTTTATACTGGTGTATTGCTTCATAATGGGAAATAATCTGAGACGTCAGAAGCCTGTGGTATCCATGGAATGATCTGCAAGGCAACCTGAGAATCTGCAGACACTGAGGAATCCATGATTTAATAAACATTCTCATGATAAATGATGTTTTATCAGACAGTGGGGGAAAAAATCAGGAATACAGCTTAGGAATCTGTCCCCTGAAATGAAAGAAAACACATTTAAAACTAGCCAGGTATAGGACACCGTGTTGTTTTTGATATTGGATAAATTAATGCAAACCAGCTTGAATATATAGGTTGTTTGTGCACATCCTCATTTTATGATATGCTATCTGTATTTTCATTATGTGAATATTTAATATTACAGTATGCAGAAGGGATAAGCACAATCATTTTGAGGTTAAATCAAAATGTGGACTATAGAAAAAAATTAGCAGAATTGTTGTTATGAATCCTGCAACAACAACCACCAGCCAACCAACCAAATCTAGAGAGTATTCAAAGACAATCCAGTTCTGAATTGATGGGTAATTCACTGAAGTCACTTAGGGAAGGTGTTCTGATATGCTTAGATGTGGAGGGAAACCAGGTTCTAAAACACTCCCATAAGTGAGATTAAGGCACAAACTAGGCCAGAGGCTGGATTCCAAAATGATAATTCAGCTTTATTTTGTAACACAAAAGAGCGGAGAGAAAGGAAGAGGATAGGAAAGCAGGGAAAAGCTAAGGGTGACAGTTAAAAGCACAGCACAGGAGTTACCACCACCATGAAGTGCTTCTCCCTGGGTTGAGTTGCAGCCTCTGAAGCGGGAACAGGCAGGCAGAGTAACACAGTGACACCAGCCCTCTCAGCAGGCCCCGGTACCACCCTGGGCACCCCCTGGGCACCGTCCTAAATGCCCTCTCCAGTAGACCCTGGATGCCCATTGGCCACTTCACCAGTATCCAAGGGATGGTACCAAAATGGACCCTGACTGCCCATTGGCTGGTTCCCCAGTATCCAAGCGGGATCTGCCTGGCACACCTTATTTGGGAGAGTAAGTACTCGCCGTGTTCTTGATTGTAACAACTTTTTGCTTGCTAGGGATCTCCTGGAGCTTTTGAAACAGCTCAGCTCCTGCAGCAGCTCAGCTGTTGCATCAAGATGTTTTAGCTCCACACTCAGTGGCACAGCAGACTCCACCTTTAATCAGTCCATTACAGTAGGTCACAGCCAAACTGATGGTTTGAATAGTCCAATTAAATATGAAGTTCCCCATCTTGCTTTCTAGTATTTTTTTTACCACCAGATTTTCAAGGACCTAATGTCCTGTACTGATCTGGCACCTTGTCTGTAGCTCAGCTGATCCTTGCAGAATTTTGATGTATTCTTTGGGGATTTTAATTGCCAACAAGTCTCCTTCCTCAAACACAACATCAGTTGTTATTGTTTGCATTAGAATAAGGTTCCTGCTTTTTACACCAAAGCACTCAGGAGTGGATTCTCTATTCCTTTTCCTTCCCATGGAACTCTGAAGGATGTTTCCAGATGACTTCTATCAAGGTGCTCACTGCTTTAGCTTCAACAGTTGCTGACTGATGCTTCCATTCAGCAAATCCATCTCAAGAACCTTCACTTCAGTAATCCCTTATGTAGGCCCCAGATTTGATTTAGACACTATCTGTCTTGGATGACCTCCTTGTCTTTTAGATGTCTTAACATATCTTCTAGGAGGATCTGCTCCATGACCTTCCCAGGCATCAAAGTTCTACATCTGCCCATAAATGCCCTCTTCCATCTCTGCCCACCATAATGATCCTAAAAGCTCTCAATTCCAATTAATTTCTTCCTTTCCATCACTACTCTTCTTTCATTCTTTCTTCTTTATAATATTGTGATTATTATTATTTTTATTTTTAGCAGTCCAGGAGATTGCTTTAGAGCTGTGCTCAACTCCAAAGTTGCTAATGCTATTTAGGGGCTTCTCATAAGTGCACATAAAGATTATCAAACAGGGGGAAAAGCAACTGGCTTGGGTCTGGAAAAGCCCACAGTCAGAGCAGGAGCCAGGGAAGTCCTGGAGGCCTCTGATGATTTCACAACCTGAGTCCAACTATCAATTTACCTTTTTTCAACCACTAAACTTAATACAAGGTTTAGAGTGAGTGATTCCTGAAATACAGGGCAATTTTCATTTCTGTTCTTACAAAGGATGAAATCATCCACTACCAACAAAATTACAGGTAAACTCTTAATCAAATTCTTTTTCATGCAGAATTTCTGTGGCCTGAGTGAGTCTGCAAAGTTTCGCCCTTTGTCCCAGGTCTTAAAGTTAATTTTGTAGTCATTTGACCCTTGCCCAGTGTCTTTGACCATAACCATTTGTCCTCACACCTCTGATGCATGGATCTCAGTCTTGATCAAGTTTTATTCCTCAAGAAAAAGTAACTTCTTTAACATTGGAATTATTTCCTTATTCCTCTGCACAAGCTTTTACAGTAAGATTTAATCTGCCTATCAGGCAAATTAGTTCAGATACATAGAACTTAACACATCTTAATTTTTTCAGCCATATCTGACAGCATAAAAAATCTGGATGCAGATTTCCCCCAGAACAGATACTTAGTCAAAACCAAGGGTAAAGAGGAATTCCTGATGTTCTCCGTGTTCCATGGAGGTTGTGGTAGAGAAACACTGACCAGCTGTAAACAATCCTATAGGATATCATTTGCTGCTGAGAAAGAGTCTTAGGACCTGGATATAAAATTAAGTGTTATTATGTCCCTAAATGCCACTCACTTCAGAATCAGGATTAAATAACAAACAGTTCTTTAGAGAGTACTTACACTTTAAAGCAGAACACTATTAAGAGGACTTGGTGGAAAAAAATTCTTTCAAAAAAGTTTGAGTGGTGAAAAATCCTATTTGAAATATTCCCAAACTCTGCAGAGAAAATGGGCATTAATAAAGGGGGTTTATGTCATATTTTGGGATATACATTCATTTGTATTCTTTTTTTCTTTCTTTCTTAAGGAAACAACTTTTTAATTGGTGCAACATCCTGTAAACTTTATTATTGTTTTCATTAGGCAGGATACCTTCTGAGTAAAAATATTATGATTTTCTTGAAATGTAACCTTTCTTTTAGTTTGTGACCTTTACTATTAATGCTAAAAAACAATGGATCCACTTTAACCCTTGAACAAACAAGCCTAATCATTTTGGTTATTACTTTTAACAACACAGGAAGATATTTATAATTTCTTAGTCTCCTCTAATTCTATGATTTAACTGTAATCTACAGATTTCAGAGCATTACAATGACAAGATCTACACAATACCCTGTGTCAAGGAAAGAGGGACAGAACATTCAGGAACAGTATTCAGGATCAGAAATGGTATTCAAGACTGACAAGATGAAAGACATTTTAAATTCAGGATTCCCCAGTGACCTACCAAAATGTCTGCTAAGTTTTGCTGTGAGACCCTTCAAGGTCATAGCACTTTCTCACCTGCAAACCTGGAGGTGAAAATGAAGTAAAAAAAAAAGACCCAGTAATGGCAAAGTCCTTTGAATGACTCCAAGAATCAGGAATTATTTTTCCTGATTTGGTACCATCTGCTTCTGCTCAATGATCATTAACATGAGGAATTCAGACAAACAACATTTTCTGACCTGTCTGCTGTGGACAGGAGAGATTGAGAGCTGGCTGGGGCAGATCCTCTTCGTTCAGTTTGCTTGGCTTTCACAACATATTTCCCAAAAGAGACGCTCACCTGGAGACGTGAAACCCGGACTCTCTGTCAAAAAGGATTTGAAGTGAAACCCTTCCTACTTTATCTTTTGCTTCTTAATGAGAACAGAACGTAAACCAAAACAGACTAAGCAGCAAAAGTGTTTCCACAAAGTAACCTTTTTCTTGTAATCATTTACATCCTTGTTAATTGTGCATAATTTGCACCTTAACCTGAAGCACTTTGGGTCTTCTTTTTCCTCTGCCTTTACCACTTAAGTAGATCTCAAATTCATGAAGATGAAGAGAAGCATTAAAGTAAAACAGCTTTCCACTCTGAAAGAATTTGAGAATGTTACAGTAGTAGTTCTTGAATGTCAATTAATTGTTGATACTCACCTCAAGACAAACATTATTTTTATTTTCAATTTCCTATTTACTTGTTATCAAAATCTTGTAGTTACACCTATTTTTTTAAGGAAGCTGTTTATATAAATTCCAGTACAAAAATTAAACCTTTGTATGCTCCTAGGTGTGTCCTTTCTCTCTCCCATTCCACAGTCTTAATTACTTGCAGCTTCTGCCTTCTGCAAATCTGTAGGTCAATGGAAAAAGTGGTTCCAACATCACACATCCTCAAGCCATATGGGTGTTCTCTCCTTTTTCTTCCATAGCTTGTTTTCCTAGTGCTCTGGGTCATGACCATGTGCTCAGTGTCACGCTGTATGACCAGCACAGATGATGGAGATTTTCTCTCCCTGCTTTCCAGATCACTCTCACCCTTGTCATTCTCTTGCCCACTCTTTGTTCTTTAGAACCTTTCTCTGGATTTTCCCAGTAGGTGTCTTTGGCAGATCTTGAACAAACTCCACCTGAAAGGCAAAAATGCTCACTTGTAGCCAAATACTTTCTAGTTAATTTCCCAGGCGCAAAAAAAGACACACATTTATTATGGCTGGGGATAAAAAGATGGGAGGCTGCCCAGCGTGGTCTGGGACAGTGAAATTCCTTATTACACACTGCAGTTGACTTGTAGGGACAAGTACCACAGTCCCGAAGAGATGAGTGGTTCAGCAGTCAGGACATGGAGCTACTGGTGTCTTTCTTGGGGTAAAGAGGTGAATTCCACCCCCACTGATGCCAGCAGGAATTTCCCCTTTTCTTTGGCTGAGAGTCTGAACAGAGGTCAGGGGAGGAATGGGTAAGTTCAGTGTCTTGCCCATTTGAGCTGGTGGGAAAACCCCAGTATTCCATGAAAGGAAAACTGGACCCTGATGAAGTACAGTCACATGAGCATTGCCTCCCTTTGGGTCCTCTCGAGCACACACAGTGAACCCAAAGCTACAGCTGCAACACACCCTTTGATTTGATTTAGCTGTTGTTGGAGTGTTTGTCAGAATGCAGCTGAAAAGGAGCTGAGGCAGGACAAAAAATGCTCAGTTTCTGGTACAATTAGCAGACCTGTCTTTTGGGGCTGTACTTACCTTCCTTGGATACTTGTAAGGTGCAGTCACTTTCTTGACATGCTGTTGAAGCTCCTGAGTTAATTTTTCTGGATCATGTGATGCAAAAGCAGGAGTTAAAACAATGAAGGCTTTGACTACCTGTGTCACAAGAATTAAGGGATTCCATTAACTTTCAGAGGTGGGAATAAAGAGATACATATCTTGTGAAAAGTGAGTGTCTAAATTCAGAATGCAAAAATTCAATCTTTTTCTTTAATTTCCCTTTCATTGTCTCTTTGTGACAGAATGGTGTGTTATGAAGGCTGTGTTCTGCAGCAGAGAATTTTTTTCCACTTTTTTTCCCCTTAATTTTATATCCTGTTAAAGCTGAAGATCTCACCCCAGTTGCTCAAAGAAAAAATATAGCTCAAAGGTGAAAAATATAAAACAAAAATTAAACACCCTGGATATCATGGCTACCATGTGCTTAGTGACAAAAAGAGGAATAATACAAATTCCATTACTTAGGCAAAAAGATGCCACAATAAGTCTGAAAAGTCAAGTCTTTTTCGCCCACATCAAACCCTGCAAAAAAGGAAATAATTCTGAAATTCCACGATTGGTCAAGATATGGATTTAAAAAATGGGGTTTAGCCCATTTCATTTGAAAAATCTGCAATATACTCAATTCCAAGGAAGCCTAGGACATATAGGCAACTTGATGCTTACAATAAAGGGCATTTCTTTCCACATCTTTGTTTTTTATTATTATTTCTTTTTACCTCCCCTCGATCTGGATCAGGACTGCTGACAACAGCTGACTCTGCCACTGCTGGGTGTTGGATTAATGCACTTTCCACTTCAAAGGGGCCAATACGATACCTGGGAGAGAGGGAAGATGTGTCAGCTGCAGCAAGATGGGCCAGTCCATTGGTCTTTTCAAATTGCATTTTAACAGACAAATGATTAAATCTAAAAGCAACTGACTTACCCAGCAGAATTAATGATATCATCATCTCTCCCAACAAACCAGACATATCCTTCTTCATCCATAATCGCCCTGTCCCCAGTGACATAAAAATTTCCACGCACAGAGGCAGCAGTTTTCTCCGGATTATCCTGACAACAGTCAAAAAATGTATCTGATTGTTAGTGAAACATAACACATCAACTTTGCAGTGGTGCTAAAAACGAACAAGAAAATTGTTCTCAAAATGAGTTTGTTCAATACTATTGTATGTCTTCAACTGAAAGAAACAGAGCCATGTCAAACAGCAGTTTGGTGGTAGAAATATGTGAGCGGGGGGAAAGAGCACTTGTGTATGTAAGATTAGAGCGTTAGAGAGAAAAGGCTGTGCTATACCTAAATTCCCATCCATCACAGCAAATGACTAAAATGTGTAGCCCCCTGTCTTCAGGGAAATGATTTTTCATTGCAGGGGGTTGCCACAATGACCTCCTGTCTATGGAAACTTTTTACCTTTAACTGTCAAGACCAAAACTCAAATGAGGTGACCTTCAGAAAAAAATTTCATTCTCTACATTGACTTGTAGGTTACACAGGAAAAACATGTTGACAACAGACATAGTTAAAACCTGAAGTAACGATACTGAACCTAAAGAAATTTTTTATCACACAGCGAGTAATTACGTTAGACAAGTGGTTGCTTGAGGATGCTACAAATATCCAAATATTATGGGGGTTCAGAAGCAGATTAAACACAAAGACAGGTCCTGCAAAGCTTATTCAATGTGATACTTCAAATGCAGTGGACAATAGGTTTGCCTGATTCTACTCTTTTCTTAAGAATATACTGCACCTCAGCACCACCACACAACCAATCAGGCTCAAAGTCCTCAAGCAACCTAGTGAGACCTTCTGAAGATCCTGGATGAAATCCTGCTCCTGGCATAAAGGAACAGAACTTTGCTCTGGGTCTCCCCTGAGTTTCTGAGCAGGCACAGACACAGCAGCTCAGGCTCACCAGGTACTCAGAGAACAGACAGAAGGGCCGTGTCGGCTGGATTCGGACAGCAATGCTGCCCTCTTCTCCTGCAGGCAAAACAGCCCCATGGTCATCTATGATCTGCAGAAAGGACACATCATTATTCCTTTGGTTAGCTCAGAGGAATGAATCTCTGTTCTAGCACAGTGCAGGACAGAGAAGGGACACAGACAGCATTCCTTCCTCATCTACCCCCAACTGCAACATATCGACGTACCTGCACATCAAAAGGGGGAAGGGCTTTTCCCAAAGAGCCAGGTTTAATTTTCATTCCTTTCATGTTGGCACAGATTGTCACCTGCATAATAGATTTTTATTATTC